GTCCGACTGACAGTGCTCCTGGTGCTGCGGCTGGGGGTTCTGGAGCTTCTGGTGGTGCTGCTGGAGGTGCCGCTGGAGTGGGTGCTCCTGCCGGGGCTGCTGGTGCTGTTCCTGCTGTTTCTAGCGTCGCCGCGCGGCCCCGACCGTACTTCGTTCCGCTCCTGCAGCAGGTTCTTGGTCTTACACCTCCTCCTCCTCCCTTAGAGGGTCCGCAGCCTGTCCGGTCACAGCCACAGCTACTGCCTGCCTCCCCTTTGCCTGCTCCTTCTCCCTACGCTGGTCCGACTGGAGGTCTTACTGAGCGTCGTGAGCCTGCGTCTCGTCCTGTGTCGCCTGTTCGTACTGAGCGCGCTAGTGGTCGCGGGTCGCGTCAGCGTCCTCCTCCTGTCCCTGGCACGCACCGGATGTCACTGCGTCCGTCCACTGCTCCTCTGCGTGCCCCTTTGCCTTCTCCTCCTACTTCCTCTCTTCCTGCTCTTGCCGACCCGGAGTCGGACTCTCTTCGTGCTGCCAGTCCTACTGTCACGCGTCTCCTGGCTACTGCTGTCACTGACCCCTCCTTCGAGTCGTCTGCTGCGTCTGCCCTTGTCACTGAGCTTGTCGACTTTGCTGCGCGCTGTCGTCTAGACTACGCTGCTCGTCTTGTCACTGAGTCTGAGTCCGCCTGTCCTCCGTCCGTCGGGGGTGAGTGTGCCCTTGGCACGGACGTCCTTGAGGACAGGCAGGAGGAGTTCCAGTGTCTGGCCGCTGCTTCACCTCGTCTCGCGTCTGTACTGCTAGCCCCTGAGGGAGACCCGGATGCACCAGACATCCCGACTCCGCGCTCTTACGCGGAGGCGATAGAGGGTCCCTACTCCTCTCAGTGGCAGGCAGCTATGGATGCAGAGATGGCTTCCTGGAAGTCCACAGGCACCTACGTTGACGCTGTTCCCCCTCCTGGGGCGAACATCGTCAGTGGCATGTGGATTTTCAGGGTGAAGCGGCCGCCGGGTTCTCCGCCTGTCTTCAAGGCGCGTTACGTGGCTCGTGGCTCCAGTCAGCGGCAGGGGGTTGACTACTTTCAGACCTTCTCCCCCACCCCGAAGATGACCACTCTTCGGGTTCTGCTGCACGTTGCTGCTCACCGTGACTACGAGCTGCACTCTCTCGACTTCAGCACAGCTTTCTTGCAGGGCAGCCTGCACGAGGAGATCTGGCTGCGTCGCCCACCTGGCTTCACTGGGTCTTTCCCTCCTGGTACCCAGTGGAGTCTCCGGCGTCCAGTCTACGGTCTCCGCCAGGCGCCACGTGAGTGGCACGACACACTGAGGACTACGCTCGCGGCACTTGGGTTTGCTCCTTCCACTGCCGACCCGTCGCTGTTTCTGCGCACCGACACCTCTCTGCCGCCGTTCTACATCCTCGTGTACGTCGACGACTTGGTCTTTTCCACAGCTGACACTGCTGGACTCGCCTACGTGAAGTCCGAGCTGCAGAAGAGACACACGTGCACTGACCTGGGTGAACTGCGCAGCTACCTTGGCTTGCAGATCACCCGGGACAGAGCACGCCGCACCATTACCCTGACTCAGTCACACATGGTGCAGCAGGTCCTTCAGCGCTTCGGCTTCACGTACTCCTCGCCTCAGGCCACTCCTCTGCCTACTCGCCACTCGCTCTCAGCTCTGCCTTCGGATGAGTCCGTAGAGTCGAGTGGCCCGTTTGCAGAGCTTGTTGGCTGCCTCATGTACCTGATGACCTGCACACGACCTGACCTCGCATACCCTCTTAGCATTCTCGCACGCTTTGTTGCTCCTGGGAGACACCGACCAGAGCACATGGCTGCAGCGAAGAGGGTGTTGCGCTACTTGTGCAGTACGTCGGGCATGGGGCTAGTGCTTGGAGGGCGCAGTCCAGTGGTCCTCACTGGGCACGCAGACGCTTCTTGGGCTGACGACCAGGCTACGCAGCGGTCGTCACAGGGTTACACCTTCAGCCTTGGTTCCGGCTCTGTCTCGTGGCGGGCTACCCGCTCGTCTTCTGTTCTCGGCTCCAGTTGTGAGGCTGAGATCTACGCTGGGGCTATGGCTGCACAGGAGTTACGCTGGCTCACCTACCTGCTGACCGACCTTGGAGAGCAGCCTCGTTCTCCTCCAGTCCTGTACGTAGACAACAAGGCCATGCTGGCCTTGTGTCGAGAGCAGCGACTGGAGCACAGAACGAAGCACATTGCTCTTCGCTACTTTCTTGCTCGTGAGCTACAGCAGCGTGGACAGCTGCGACTTGCGTACGTGGCCTCTGAGGCCAACACTGCTGATGTCTTCACCAAGGCACTTGCGCCTTGTGATCATCAGCGTTGCTGCACGCAGTTGGGTCTTGTGCCTGTCTTGCCTCACTTGCTCTCCTCTTGACCTTGCTTGTACCTTCGCATATATATACTCTTGCTCTTGCTTGCTTGACTCTTGTATACCTCTATATATGATCTTGCATGTGAACTGGCCTTGTGGCCTTTGAACTTGTGCTCGGAATGCGTGGTGACTTTGTGATCCACCCTGAGCTTTGCTTTGCTTTGCTTGACTGGTCTTGTGACCCCTTGTTCTCCCCCACTTTGCCTATGGGGGTGTGTTAGAACATATAGCTTACTTGTTTGTGTAGGCTATAGTGGGGTATCCCATAGGGGGTACAACACAATTAGGGTTTCCTATTTGTACTCACTTCGTTCATACTCATTTCATTCTCGTTCAATTCTTCTCAACGTGTTGTTATCGTCTAGCTCCTTCAACTCCTTTTCCATAGTTTCGCGCCATTTTTCACGATGAGGCCCTCTGAGAGCTTGCTCGAGGGTCTTTGGTTCAGTAAGCACTATAGAGTTCTGTACAGTGACGGCTAACCCCAGTATCTCTAAACTGGTCTAACGAGAGCCAGCCTGTTCCTCTATTCCGAGTGTAGCAGCTTCGTTACCAGCTTCAGGTTCAGAGTTGAATGCGTGGCCTATACGTTCGCTTTCGTTAAAAGCGACAAGGGGATAAATGTATTTGCTTCATTATCAGCGAAATCGTGATACGCTTCAGCGTTGACATCATTGTGGGGATCCTCTCCGTCGATCTCGATCGGAACAGAGTAGTAAGGGGCGACACCTGGAGCTGCTGACGCCTAAGAGATAGCTTCCTCTACCGCGCCATCTTCGTCGACTTCTGTTGCGAAAGTGCGTGCACAAGTAAAACCAGCTGTCAAGTCTTCGCTGTTAGCGCGTTGATGCTGCCAAGTGTTGTATGTGAGCCTTTCGTAGAAAATGACATCACGTGCCAGTACTGTTATTAGATCCTCGACGTCCCAAACTTTTCATGCAGCAAACTGCTTCTCAATCCCGAGATGTATTCCTTACTTTGATCGTTGCGAAGACTGTCCTAGAGGAGTATCAACGGCCGATACCGTACCATACACCTGAAAACCCGTAACATTTTTGTATTGCCCAATTTTCCCGTCCACTCCTTGTGTGGTGAGGAGTTTTTTGGCAGGGACGTGGATGACAGGAGGTTTTGGAGCTCACGGCGTGGTCCATTGTGTCAGTAGATCTGCACTGTGGATGCCCGATTGATCCTGGAGAGGGTTACAGGGGCGTTCGCCTGGGGGGTTATGGACGCACTGACCCGCTACTGAAACAAGCCCTTTTATCCCAATGGTCTAGTGGTTGGGATTCTGACATGGTATGAGAGCGGTCTCGGGTTCGATTCTGGTGTATGCACATGTAGGCCGTTGCCGCTGTGCTTAGTCCTGGGCCTCCCAATGTGGGGGGGTGTCAGTAGATCTGCACTGTGGATGCCCGATTGATCCTGGAGAGGGTTAGAGGGGCGTTCGCCTGGGGGGTTATGGGCGCACTGACTCGCTACTGAAACAAGCCCTTATATCCCAATGGTCTAGTGGTTGGGATTCTGACACATTGCAAACGGCCACTGCCTTTTTGGCAGGTGTGCTTCCGAGAGAAGTTTACGCATGATGGTCTGCATCGTCTTGTTGATCCGTTCTGCTGCACCCTGCGTTGATGCTCGTAAGTGTGAAGAAATGAGAAATGATTGCGTTGAGCAGCATGAGGAGTACAAGTAGGAAACCCTAAAGTGTTGTACCCCATATGAGCTACCCCACTACAGCCTACACAGACTATAGCATATAAGTTTGACACACCCCCATAGGCAAAGTGGGGGAGAACAAGAGGTCACAAGACCAGTCAAGAGAAGCAAGGCAAGCTCAAGGTGGATCACAACGTCACCACACAATCTCAGCACAAGCACAAGGCCAGTTCACATGCACAGTTATTGTCGAACTTATATGCTATAGTCTGTTTAGGCTGTAGTGGGGTAGTCAATATGGGGTACAACACTTTAGGGTTTCCTACTTGTACTCCTCATGCTGCTCAATGCAATCATTCCTTCCTCAGATTCTCACATGGTATAGAGCAGGTTCCCTAGTGGGAACGCTTCCTAAGGGCCCACCGCTAAACTTTTTTTCTGCCCGGAGCGCGCTCCTCTCCTGCCCGAGTCGCGCCCCGTGTGCCCTCCCTCCCGTCGCGCCCTAGCCCTTAGCGGCCCGTCGCGCCCTCCTCAGGCCCCTAGCGGCCCCTTTCGCGGCCTCTCGCGGCCCCTTTCACGGCCCCGTCGCCGCCCTGCCGGCCCTGTTGCCGACCCTAGCGGCCCCGTAGCCGACCCTCGAGGCCCCGTCGCCGCCCTGCCGGCCCAGTTGCCGACCCTCGCGGCCCCGTCGCCGCTCTATCGGCCCCGTCGCCGACCCTTGCGGCCTCGTCGCCGCCCTAAGCGGCCTCGTTGCCGACCCTTGCGGCCCCGTCACCGCCCTAAGCGGCCCCGTCGCCGCCCCATTGGCCCCGTCGCCGACCCTTGCGGCCCCGTCGCTGCCCTAAGCGGCCCCGTCGCCACCCTATCGGCCCCGTCGCCGACCCCTGCAGCCCCGTCGCCGCCCTAAGCGGCCCCGTTGCCGACCCTATCGGCCCCGTCGCCGCCCTACCGGCCATGTCGCCGTCCTCAGCGGCCCCGTCGCCGCCCTGCCGGCCCCGTCGCCGCCCTAGCGGCCCGGTAGCCGCTCTCAGCGGCCCCGTCGCCGCCCCTTCATGGCCCCGTCACCGTCTCTACCAGCCCTTTCAACGCCGCCAGCAGCCCAGCAGCCGAGGCGCCAGCCAGCCGAGCCGCCGAGCCACCCAGCAGCCGAGGCGCCAGCCAGCCGAGCCTCCGAGCCGCCCAGCAGCCGAGCCGCCGAGCCGCCCTGCAGCCACGCCACCGAGCCACCAAGCAGCTGAGCTGCCGAGCCGCCCAGCAGCCGAGCCACCGAGCAGCCGAGCTGCCGAGCCGCCGATCCCCCCAACCGCCGAGCCGCCCTTCCTTCCGGCGTGCCCCGACCCTACTTCCTTGGACTGGTGAGCTCACTCCCTGATAGACCACTGCAGTCATGGCTACCCCCAGTGTCCTTACCTTTGATACTGAGGGTCGTGCTGTAGACTTTGAGGTCTGGGTCGATGACCTCTAGTTGTTCTTACAGTGCGATAGGGCGGACGGACGATCTCACCTCTGGTGTCTCTCATGCCCCGCCTGCTACTGCTGACAGCACTGTTCGCTCACGCTGGGCCACGCGCGATGCTGCTGCACATCCTGCTGTGCGTCGCCACTTACCGACCACTGAGCGTGCGCCCTTTAGCCAGTACAAGCGTGCTACGACCTTGTTCGACGCTGTGGTTGCACGCTACTCCTCCCCTGCCACTGCTGCGCTTAGCCGCCTCATGCTGCCGTACCTGTTCCCTGACCTTGCTGCCTTTCCCACAGTCGCTGACCTCATTACCCACCTTTGCACTAGTGACACTCGCTACCGCGCTGCGCTTCCTGCTGAGTTCTGTGCCAAGACCCCCCCCAATGTACATCACCCTCTACTACATAGTCATCCGGCTCCCTGACTCCCTTCGCTTAGTCAGGGACCACTTCCTCTCAGTTTGCCCCACCACACTCACCGTTGACCTCCTCGAGGAGCGCCTCCTAGTAGCAGAGAAGAGCATAGTCGCTGTAAGAGCCTCTCGTGGTGACCCTCGCACCCCCGTCTTTGAGGGGTGTTCTCCCTCCCCCCTCTTGCCCTCTGTTGCTTCTGCTGCTGCGGCCGACCTCGCTGGTTTCGAGTCGGTCGGCGCTGCGTCTGTTCCTAGCGGGAAGCGCCGCACTGGCAAGGGCAAGGGGGGCAAGGGCGCTGGGGGGGCCAATGGGGGTGGTGGAGGTGGTGGTGGAGGCAGTGGAGGGGGTGGGGATGGTGGTGGGAGTGGTTGCGGGGGTGGAGGTGTCGGTGGCAGCAGTGGAGGCGGAGGAGGCGGCGGGGGTGGCTGCGGAGATAACTGCTGCAATGGGAGCTAGACTACGGGCTAGGCACGTGTGCTCGTGTGATCTCTGCGTCCGTTCACTTAGTCATTTCCTTGTGTTCACGCTTCTTGCTAGTTCACGAGGTGAATTGGCAAGAGTTTCACTAGGAAAACATGGCAATAATGATAGTAACAACATTGGCAGCACAGACTACATCACTGCTAGCTGGGCTGCTGGTCGACCTCCAGCGCAGCACGGTCGACCGTGCTCCAGCGCAGCAGCGGTCGCACCGCTCCATCGTTGCAGAGTAGCGGTTCGCCAACGTTGCAAGTCCACAGTGTGCTAGTGCTGCAGCAAGTCGGTTGCACAGCGTTGCACCCGCAGGACAATGGCGCACCTGCTTCACAGGTGCGCGCAGCTGGTTGGTGTGCACTTCCCTGTCACGTGCACAGCGCAGACACCTGGCAGACTCCACACCAGCGACTGTGCCTACCAGCCACGTCGACCTCGGGATACCACTCCCGAGGTCGGCCTCGCAGACTCCACCCTGGCGACACTCGCGTACGTTGCCCGGGTATCCCGATCGACCGGGCAACCACGCCTGGTCGACCCACGCAGTCCGTAGCCAGCCACGCATGCTCGGCGTCCCTAGTCCTGTGTCCAGGCACCCAGGACGCCTTCCGAACCCCAAGGTCGCCGTCCAGATGCCCAGGACGTCGAGAAAACCTCCAGAGCGGCGTCCCTCCTCCCAGGACTCCGACCAGGTCGGTGTCTGGGCCCCCCGGGACGCCCAGGTCGGCGTCCGGACCCCCCTCGGATGCCGTGCAGACACCCACGACGTCGACCAGGCGCCCGGGTAGTCGTGGCGACGCCCAGCTCGGCGTCCAGCTTCCCAGAACGCCGTCCAGGCGTCCGGGACGCCAACCAGGCGTCCAGGACGGCATCCTCCTGCTCGGCACCCTCCAGTCAGGCGCCCTCCAGCTTGGCGCCCTTGCAGTGGCCCCCGTGCCCACTGCTGCAGGTCGGCTGCAACCCCCGCACATCCGACCACAAGGTTGGCTCTGCCCAAGCGAGGACGGGGCCTTACAACGCTCTCGTTGACACTCCCCTGCCGCGTTCACGCTTGGGCCCCTAGCCCGCACGGCAGTACAGCTCCGAGAATAGCCCGTCGGCGTGCACCCAACACACAGCACACCGGTCACCGCACCAGCCATGCAAGAGGGCATGGCACCTACTACTGCACGTCGTTGTCGCCGTCGCCCACATCGGCCAAGCGCACCTGGCCGATTGCGACGGAGCACCGGTTGAAGGCCGGATAGTGCAGCGCCTTCGTCAGGAAGTCGGCTGGCTGCTCAGTGGTCGGGATGTACTGCAGCGAGAACTTCCCACGCTTCACCATGTGCTGCAGCCAGGCCTGTCGCCACTCCATGTGCTTGAGGTTGCCTATCAACCCCATGCCCTCGGCGACCGTGATAGCCGACTTGTTGTCCACTCGCAGGACAGTCGGCTTCCCGGCGTCCAGCTGCCGGAACTCGGCGAGGAGGAAGCGAAGGCGGCGTCCCTCCTTGCCAGCTTCAGTGGCCGCCACGTACTCTGACTTGGTCGACGACAACGTCGCGCACTTGATGCGCTGGCTCGACCAGGAGACTGCAGCCCCTCCGTAGACGAACACGTGGCCGCCCGTGCTCGTCCTGTTCTGCTTTTCACTAGCGTCGTCGGCGTCCATGTAGCCGACCAGCTCCAGCGACTCAGGTCCACCGCCGAACTCCAGGGCGGTGTCACGTGTGTTGGCGAGGTAGGCGAGGCAGCGGTCGACCTCGCGCCAGTGCTGGTCGCTCCTCACCGTGAGGCCGCTCCCCAGCTTGCTGCAGGCAAAGGCGATGTCCGGCCTTGTCGTCGTTGCCGCAAACTGCAGTGAGCCAACCTTCTGCCGGTACTCCTCCTGTCGTTCCTGCACCTCCTCATCGTCGAAGGTGAGCTCGGCGTAGGCACCGACCGAGACCGGCGTCTTCGTGGTGCGCCCGGTCTGCTCCTCGTCGATGAAGCGCCTACGCAGCTTGTCGGCTTAGCCCTGCTGGTGCAGCCACAGCTTCCCCGCCGACCTGTCGCGCACGATCTCCAGCCCAAGGTACTTTTGCTCGGGCGAGATCTCATGTAGCTCGAAGGCGGACTCCAGCAGCTCCTTCAGCATCTCGGTGCTGCTGCTGGCGGCAAGCAGGTCGTTGACGTAGACCAGCACCCAGCAGACCACTCCGTCCTTTCCGACCTTGAAGTAGAGAGCCTCGTCAACCTGGCTCTTCTTCCACCCGGCGCCGACCAGCACATCGTTGAGCGCCAAGTACCACAACAACGACGACTGCTTCAGCCCATACAGGCTCTTCAGCAGCTTGCACACCCGGCCGGTTCCGTCGTTGAAGTAGTCCGGCTGGGACATGTACAGCACCCGGTCGAGCTTGCTCTGCAGGAAGGCGTTCTTCATGTCGAGCTGCATCAGGTTGAGGTTGAGGACGGCGGCGATGCTGAGGAAGATCCTCAGCGTGACGTAGCTGCCCACCGGCGCGAATGTCTCATCGTAGTCGGTGCCATACACCTGTGTGAAGCCCTTCACGACCAGCCTCGCCTTCTCTCGCTCGACGGTGTCGTTGATGTGGTACTTCGTCGTCAACACCCAACGGTCCTTCATGACGTTCACCCCCGGCGGGCGTTCGACCAGCTCCCACGTACCCATGTTTAGGAGGCTGCGAATCTCCTCCTCCATGGCGGCCTTCACCGCCGGGCCCTTCCAGCTCGCCAACGCCTCCTTCACAGTCATCGTCGAGATGTCCCAACGGTGCTCGGGGTCGGCTAGCATGTCGGGGTCGAGCTCCGGAAACTCCTCATCCTCCTCAGCGTCGTCGTACAGCAGGTCGTTGTCATCATCGTCCACGTCGTAAACCGTGGTGAAGGCAGCGGGGACGAAGAAGTCAGGCGGCCTCCGAAGTCGGCCTGAACGCCGTGGTCCCGGCTGGACCTCCTCGGCGTCCCCTCCATTGTCGCTGTCGTCGCTGCTCTTGGCGTCATAGTGCTCCTCAGCCGGCGTCCCAGCCGACTGCTCCCCTATGGTCGGCGTCCCAGCCGACTTCTCCCCTGTGGTCAGCTCTCCTGCTGACAACCCCGTCGCCGACTGCTCCTTGGTCGGCGTCGCTGCTGCCTTCTCCTTTGTCGGCCGCGACTCCTCGACCTGCTTCTCGACCTACTCCTCCCCTGTCGACATCGAATGCAAGCCCATGTCGACCTGCCGCTCGTCACGTCGGCCACCGGCGATGTACTTGGCCGAAGGCGACGTCCCACTACTCCCCTCATCGCCGGAGGCCGACACCAAGGTCAGCTCACGCAGACCGGCCATGAGGGGAGGGGCAGGGGTTGGAGGAGGGGTAGGGGAGCGGACGTCCTCGACGTCCTCAGTAGCAATCTCACCGACCTCGGCAAGCAGCGGCAGCGCCGCCGACGAAGTGTCAGAGGGCGGAGTGGACGACGAGCGGCCGGACACCGGCCCATGCTCCGTCTTCCACTCGGACAGCGACATTTCCTCGTAGAACACCACGTCGGACGTGGTGACCACCTGGTCGGTGTCGACGTCGAGGAGCTCCCAGCCCTTGCTCGCCGCCGACACGCCAAGGTGCAGTCCCCACCTGGCCTTCGGCTTCAGCTTCCCCCCACGCTGCTGCTCAGGGACAAGGAACTGCGCCATGCACCCCCACACCCGCGCCAGCGACAAGTCGGGCTTCTTCCCGGTCAGCAGCTGGTACGGCGTTGTCCCCGGCGGCAGCGTCGACCTCTCAAGGCAGTTGCGGACCCAGACGGCCTGCCGGAGAGCGAGGTGCCACCAGAGGTGCTGCACGCCCATGTGCAGCAGCATTGTCCGCACCGACTCCACCACCGTCCTCATCTCCCGCTCCGCCATGCCGTTCTGCTGCGGGGTGTATGGGCAGGTCAGGTCGTGGACGATCCCCTTGCCGTTCACGAAGTCGGTGAACTGCTTCCCGAGGAACTCCCCTCCCCAGTTAGAGCGCAGCATCAACACCGACTTCTTCGTCTGCCGCTCAGCCACCGCCAGCCACTGCACGAACGCCGGCAACGCATCTCACTTCTTGGTGACCGGCTTCACCCACACGTAGCGGGTCTTGCGGTCCTTCAGCAGCAAGAAGTACAGGCTGCCATCCTTGGCAGCCACGCGGAACGGCCCGCACAGGTCGATGTGCACGACGGCTAGCACGTCGTCGGCGTCGGTGCCATGGTCAGTGTAGGTGTGCCGTGCCAGTTTCCCGCCGACGCATGAGACACACGGGGAGTCGGCGTCCGTCGCCGACTTGAGGTCCAGCCCAATGGCGACCTCGTTCTTCGCCGAGCTCCGTATGGTGTTCATGCCGACACGTGAAAGCCGCGCATGTATCCGGTCCGGCGTCCACTTCGTCTTCGAGACGAGCGCCCACAGAGCCACGGCCTCCAGCGTGGTCGAGGCTGACGTCGTCGTGTAGGGACGCAGGTTGGTGCAGAGGACACCCCCGGAGTACGTCGCCCGACCGAGCACCACTCCGGCTGCAGAGACGAGCATCATTCCTTCTCCGTCCTCCTGCAGCTTTACGCCGTGCTCCTTCAGCTGGCCGGATGACAGCAGGTTGGCCCGCACACCCGGAACATACAGTACGTCGGGGATGAGTACCTGCTTCCCGGCCTCCCCTTGTAGGGAGACGGTGCCACGGCCCTGGACGTCCTGCAGCGCCCCATTGAAACCGCGCTCATGCCTGATGGCGCCGGTCGGCTGCAGGTCCACGAAGGCTTCCTTCGTCCCCATCAGGTGGTGGGAGCAAGCGCTGTCGAGCAGGACCACCGCCGGGTTCACTCGCACAGCTGCCGCCACCGCCTGGAAGTCCTCTCCGGCCTCCGGCGCTAGAGAGATGGTCGGCTCCACGACGCCGACCAGCGAGCACAACGCCGTCTTGTCGTCTCGCCCCTTGTCGCCTGCAGCAGAGTCGGCGTCCTTCGCCGAAGTCGACGTCGTCGACTGCTTCTCCTTGCACGGCTTGTTTCCTCCTCTACGAGGACGACGAGTGCCAGATCTCCCGCAGCCTCCCTTGATGTCGTCGTCATCGGAGTCACTGCGGTCGGGGCACTCGTAGGAGAGGTGGTCAGGGCTGTGGCAGATCCAGCACTCCCGACGTCGACCACCTTCTCCTCGATCACCGTCCTTGGTCGACTTCTTCTTGTGGACCTCCTTGGCCGGCTTCCAGCCACCGCTCTCGCCGCCTCCCGAATGCCCACGTTGCCCTGGTTGGCCTCCTTGCTTCGTCGGGGCAACGAAGTTGGCCTGCGCCATGAGTTCCTGTGACCGCTCAGCCTCCTGCATCACCTCGTCCTGCAGGATGTACGAGGTCAGGTTGTCCTCGTTGAGCGTCGCCCTCGTGCTCGGCGCCATAGACAGCCGCTTCAGCAGGTTGTAGCTGCTAGAGAGTCCCTGCATGACATGGGTGATGTGCGATGCCGTGGAGTACTGCGCGCCGGCCATCCTGATAGTGGCGAGAATTCGCCGGGCTCGGTTGCAGTAGTCAGTCGCTGTCTCCTTGTCACCCATACGCAGGTGTGTCAGCTGTCCCTCCAGCTGGGCGATGAACAGGTCGTCGGTGACCTGGTACGTCGACTCAATGAAGTGCCACACCTGGTGGCCTTCCACTGCTCCTCTGCGTGTCCCGTTGCTGTCTCCTCGAGAGTCCTCTCTTCCTACTCTTGCTGACCCTGAGTCTGACTCTCTTCGTGCTGCCAGTACTACTGTCACGCGTCTCCTGGCTACTGTTGTTAGTGACCCTTCTTTTGAGTCCACTGCTGCGTCTGCTTTGGTTGCTGAGCTCGTTGAGTTTGCTACTCGCTGTCGTCTAGACTACGCTGCTAGTCTTGTCGCTTAGTCTGAGTCTGTCTGTCCTCCGTCCGTCGAGGGTGAGTGTGCTCTTAGCACGGACGTCCTTGAGGACAGGCAGGAGGAGTTCCAGTGTTTTGCTGCTGCTTTGCCTCATCTCGTGTCCACGCTGATTGCCTCTGAGGGAGACCCGGATGCACCAGACATCCCGACTCCTCGATCGTACGCTGAGGCGATCGAGGGTCCCTACTCCTCACAGTGGCAGTCAGCCATGGACGCAGAGATGGCTTCCTGGAAGTCCACAGGCACCTACGTCGACGATGTTCCCCCACCTGGGGCGAACATCGTCAGTGGCATGTGGATTTTCAGGGTGAAGCGGCCGTCGGGTTCTCTGCCTGTCTTCAAGGCGCGTTACGTGGCTCGAGGCTTTAGTCAGTGGCAGGGAGTTGACTACTTTCAGACCTTCTCCCCTACCCCGAAGATGACCACTCTTCGGGTGCTGCTGCACATAGCCGCTCAGCGCGACTACGAGCTTCACTCTCTTGACTTCAGCACAGCTTTCTTGCGGGGCAGCCTGCACGAGGAGATCTGGCTGCGCCGCCCACCTGGCTTTACTGGGTCGTTCCCTCCTGGTACCGTCATACCCCGGATATAAGCGCCACCCGCGGATAAGCGCCTGGCGCTTTTATTTGGCGTGTGGCGCTTATATCCGGTGCTCGATTATAAGCGCATACCTAAAAGGCTTACAGATTATAACCGCATACCTATACCGAACACATTATAACCGCCACCCTGGTTTTTTGTTGTTTTTTTAATTTGAAGACATTTTATACATTTTATCCACTAGCATATCATGTTAGTTAATCTACAACTAGTTTATACTTCTAGTTAATCTAATTCTACCTACTAGCCTCACACAGGCTTCACCATTTTCTATAATTCTACCCTACTCTAATCATCAGCTACAGTGGGGTCATCTGGGTCGGCCTCAGAGTCCGACTCAGGTTCCTCTACGTTGATGCAGAAGAAACCGTCTGCTGCAGTTTCATCATCCATGTCAACCTCCTCGCCCTCGAGCTCGTCTCACCTGTGTTGCAGGCAGAGCTTGTCCTGGGACCCATCTAGGGCATTAATGATGCCGCAGGTGAGGAACGCCCGTTGAATGAGCTCCTTGGGCACGGACTTCCAGGCCGCCGAGATCCACTTGAGCGTCAGCTCGACAGGAGGCTTCTTGATGTTGCCTGCCACGCAAATCCACAAACCGGGTCAGCACGGGTTAAAGAAATATAAACGTAATCAGTGCTGCACCTCTCACCTTTCTTCGTCAAGGTGTCGACCCCCTCACGCTCAAACCACTCCTGGTAGAGCTGGCGAACGGCGGCCTTGAAGGAGCGGTTAACCGCGACATCGAGGGGCTGAATCTCTGAGGTGCAGCCAGCAGGGATAACCGCAGGGACCAGGTTGAGCTCGCCAAACTTCTTCTTCACCTCCGGGGTCAGGTGCGCGCGGTCGAATCGAGGACGAGCAGAGCCTTGCGGGGACGGACTCCGAACTTGGGGTTGATGTACGGCTTCACCGCCCCGTCCAGCCACTCGATGACCCCGTCCGCGTCCATCCAACCGTTGGGATGGACCCCCACGTGGATATCTGCACAACATAAAAACCACGATGTTAGTTACCGTACGTTTATCACCTGACATGAACATGCCACCGCGTAATCGACGTGTGCTTCATACCTGAAGGAAAATCTCCTTTGGGGACGGTTTTCCTTTTGAAGAAGACCCACGGCTTCAACTTCTCCCCGCTGGCGGTGCAGGCCAGCATCACGGTAACCCGCTCTTTCTGGTAGCCGCCGCTGCGGACGGGCACGGAGCGTGAGCCAACCTCTTCAACGGTGCGTTCGGATGGCATCTCAAGCCAGAGGGGCGTCTGGTCCGCGTTTATGATCCACGGCAGGTCGATCTTGTACTGGCGGCGGGAGTGACGCACGTACGTCCAGAAGCTCTTGACATCACTCTCGCAGTCTGGAACACGGGATGGGAGGAACAGGAAGCACAAACACAGAGTGAGAGCCATGAATAGACGGTTCATACAAACAACAACACCACCAAATAACTCACTTGACGAAAGCTTGTGGCCGACCCGGGTCTTCGCTTTGGTCGTCAGGTTCCAGCGGCGGCGAAAGCGCTGAGTCCACCGCTGAGAGCCAGCCCAATTTTCACCTGGGTGTAACTCTTTCATCACCTCGTGTGACCACTTCTGCAGTCGTGCGATCGAGACGGCGAGGCACTTCTTGCGGTGGGCCAGAAACCTCCGGTACACCTCCGCTTCCATGTCGCGATACCACGAGCTCCTTCCGCGGCCGTGCAGGCGACAGCGTGCACCGTGCGCGCCCTCAAGCTCAGCCTTGCGGTTCTTCCACTCCGTGAGACACCTTCGGGAGATGCCGGATTCGCGAGACATGCGCCGCACACTCATCTCTCCGTTTTCGAGCTTCAGAATCCATTGCAGCTTCTCATGCGAGGTGTAGGAATTGCGCCTGTGCTTTGTTGGCTTGTGCCTGGAGGAGGGAGGACGGGCATCACGATTATCGCGAGATGGGTGGGGCCTTTTTTTATTCGGAGGGGGGAAGGAGGGAATTGGAAGGTGCTCGGGGAGACCGTCAGCAGCCCAGAACTCCACGTCGTCGTCTGCACCGGTTGCGGATTCGTCCAACGGGCAATCAGCCGGCGCTCCCCACCGTTGCTCCGGTGCGGAGGAAGATCCTTCGCCGCCGCTACGTTCACGGTCGGACAGGAAGGCGTCGAACGCCGAGTAGCCACGCGGGAGGAGAAGCTGCAGAACCCCTTGTCCCGGAACACAAACACCAGGCGGGACATGAGGGGCCGGAGGAACGGGAGGAATAGGAGGCGCCGGGGGAGCGGGAGGGGTAGGAGGCGTAGGAGTGGGAGGAACGGGAGGCACTACTGGTTGTGATGGAGGGACGGGCGCAGGGCGCGACTGCCATTGAGAGTAGTCACGGGTGTCTCTGCAGGTACTTTCTCTAGCAGCAGGTTGGCGGCGGAACAAGAAACGCGTGCCTGGAAGGCCCGCCATGGCCACGTCAGGCCAAACGAACAAAGAAAACTGAATCAAAAGCTGAGAATGAGGGCCGTATGAAGCCCTCGCCCGAGACCCCTTCAGTTTTGCGGCCCGGCTTCCTCTGCGGGGAAAGTCCAGCCACAGTCAAGATTCCCCGCAGAGGAGCTGAGCTGGGAAGCTCTTTGCCTCAGTGGCAGGGAATCTTGATGTTGATGGGCACGTCGTGGCTGAACCACGACGTGCCCACGATAGCATGCAACCATGATTGGGCCGCTGTGATGCGAAGTACGTGTGCGCTGGCATGGGCCAGGTTCACGTTCGATGAACCTGGCCTGACCAACAAGGCATGGAAGGCGTCATGCCACGCCTTGTTGGCCGTTTCACGCACAAAGCATGCACAATTTCGAGCGTTCTCGACTCAGGTGAATTCGCCTTTGAGAATGCTTCGATTTGGTACATTAAAAAACAAATTTCATTTTTGACATAACATAAACGCCAGCGCTTATAATTTTACTATATTATAAGCCCACCCCCTAAAAAAAACATGTTTTATTAATGCCCCCCATGGGGGTTTATCCGGGGTATGACGGTACCCAGTGGAGCCTCCGGCGGCCAGTCTACGGTCTCTGCCAGGCGCCCCGTGAGTGGCACGACACACTGAGGACTACATGTGCGGCTCTTGGGTTTGCTCCTTCTACTGCCAACACGTCGCTGTTTCTGCGCACCGACACCTCTTTGCCGCCGTTCTACATCCCCGTCGCTATGTGGCTCCTGGGAGACACCGACCAGAGCACATGGCTGCAGCGAAGAGGGTGTTGCGCTACTTGTGCAGTACGTCGGGCATGGAGCTAGTGCTTAGAGGGCGACGTCCAGTGGTCCTCAAAGGTCACGCAGACGCTTCTTGGGTTGACGACCAGGCTACGCAGCGGTCGTCACAAGGTTACACTAAGGCAGACACAGCAGTGGACTCAAAAGAAGGGTCAGTGACAACAGTAGCCAGGAGACGCGTGACAGTAGGACTAGCAACACGAAGAGAGTCAGACTCCAGGTCAGCAAGAGTAGGAAGAGAGGACTCTGGAGGAGACGGCAACGGGACACGCAGAGGAGCAGCGGAAGGACGCAGTGTCATCTGGTGTGTGCCGGGGACCGCAGGAGGACGCGGACGCGGAGCACGACCACTAGTGCGAGCAGCACAAACAGGCGACGCAGGACAAGACGCAGGCTCACGACGCTCAGCAAGACCTCTAGTAGGACCAGTGTAGGGAGAAGGAGCAGGCAGGGGGGAGGCGGGTTGTAAGTGTGACCGGGACTGGACAGGCTGTGGACACGCTAAGGGAGGAGCAGGACCAGTAGAGGGCAAGAAACCAAGAACACGCTCAAGGAGCGGAACGAAGTACGGCCTCGGCCGCGCAGCGCCTCCAGAACCAGCAGGGACAGCACCAGTACCCCCAGCGGCAGCACCAGCGCTAGCGGCACCTCCAGCTCCAACAGCGCCAACTCCAACACCCTCAGAAGCACCAGCACCAGCAAAACCACCAGCACCAACTCCCCCAGCAGCTCCAGCTCGAGCAGCTCCAGTAGCTCCAGCAGCACCAACTCCAGCAAGACCGTCAGCTCCAGTACCTCAAGCAGCTCCAGCAGTACCTCCATCAGGACCCCCAGTCCCAGCAGCTCCAGAACCGCCAGGACGAGCACCTCCAGGACCAGCAGCAACAGTAGTACCTCCAGCTCCAGCAGCACGGCTCTAGCGCCGGGCGAACCACTCCCGCAGCTCATGCGGAGAGAGTAGCTCCCGCCTCGACGAAGCACCGCCAGAGGCCACACGAGCAGATCCAGCACCCCCAGGCCTCGAACCCCCAGGCTCAGCACCCCCAGGCTCCGCGCCCCCAGGCTCAGCACCCCCAGACTCACCACCCCCAGGCTCAGCACTCCCAGACTCAGTACCCCCAGACTCAGCACCCCCAGGCTTCGAACCCCCAGACCCGGCACCCGCAAGCAGCACAAGAGTCAACAGCTACCTCGACAGGCTCAATTGCGTCGACGTGGGACACACCTGACGGGGCAGGACCCTGAGGGGGGAGGGGGTCTACCGAAGGAGGACCTAGCGCAAGGAAGAGCGGCGGCAGGGGGAGAGGCGCAGTGCGGTAGGGGAAGAGACGGTAGTAAGGCACCGACTCGTCAAAGGTGACGTCCTGGGAGGATAGAACACGGCGCGAGGTGGGGTGGTAAAACTGCCAACAAGGCGCGTCAGAGGGGAAGCCAAGGAAGACGCAGGGACCAGCACAAGGGGACAGCTTGTCCGCAGACAAGTCGCGGACAAACGCCCGAGATCCCTAGACCCGAAACGCAGACGCATCGCCAACCTTCCCCGTCCACCGCAAGGTGGGGGAGGTCTCTGGCAAGGAGACCCGGGGCTGAAGTTTGAGCTGATGCGCTGCGTAGTGAACCGCAAGCGGCCACAGAAAATGGGGAGCAGCCGCACGGATCATGGACGTACGAGCACAGTCCATGACCATGCCAATGCGGCGCTCAGCAATCCCATTTTGCTGTGGATAGGCCGGAAGCGTGAAAGTGTGGCGTATGCCCTGTGCATGACAGAAGGCTCCCAGACGGGCAGAGGAAAACTCCCCGCCTCTGTCAGAGTGCAGACGCAGAACAGGAAAGTCCGAGCCGAAACTCTCTCTTAGCTAGAGACAAGCTGCGCGGATCCAGTTGATCAACACCTCAGTGACGTCACCCTTGCTGCGCAAGGAGAACACCGTGGTGTAACGCGAGCAGTCATCAACCACCAACAGGAAGTAACGCTCGTGACCCTGGCCACGGACGCGCGCGGGGCCCCACACATCCATGTGAAGAGTCTGCAGGGGAGCCTCTGTCCGAGGAAACTCGGAGGAGTGAGGGGCGGCGCGCTGCCGCCCCTTGACGTAGGGGACGCAGGTAGGGGCAGGCCCTGGAGGTAGGGGAGGGTGGGACCGTGGGAGACCAGAGACAAGGACACGTGAGGCCATGCCTCGGCGACGAGGCAGGGAGGGGTGACCAAGGCGACACGAGCCAAAGGGGAGTCTGGTGGGACAGGAGACGACACGAGCAGGGCGCGGACTCAGGACCAGACCTGGACACTGCAGCAAACACCTGACTCGATGCAGCTACCTGACCAGACTCAGCAACAGGAGGAGACTCAATGGTCAGTGTGTATAGGCTCGACCCCGGCTGACGCGTAAACGTGGCCAAGTGTCGGCTCGTCCGAGCACACGTACAGTGGGTCACCCGCTGACTCGCAGGCGTGAACTGGTCAACCCCCCGATCGTGTAGATCAGCTCCACTCACCAAGTTCGTAGAGAACGAGGGAAGGTGAGACCTGACAGGGTGCCAAAGGGGGCTGCCGGACACGGTAAGACAGTGGAGAAGCTAGCAAGGACAGGACCCCCAGAGGGGTCCGCCAGGGAGATTGCAACCGGCTGACTAAGCGGCGTAAGCATGGTGCGGTCTCGAAAGGAGGAGCACGAAACACCCGAGTCAAGGGTGAAGGTGTGCAAGGCCTGAGCCGACGTGGTACCTGAGAGAGCAGACTCACCAGCACCTAGGGTAGCAGACGCACTAGCACCTAGAGCAGCAGCCTCACCAGCACCTAGAGCAGCAGCCTCAAATGCCCGGGTCAGGCGGAACGCAGAAGTAACAGTCACCCTCATCACTAGTAGACATAGCATACATGGCAGCAAGAATAGCATCATATTCAAGATCAAAGATAGCAACCCCTTCCCTAGACAGCTCTCCCCAGCGAGGGATCTCAGTGGCGTCAAGGAACTGATGACGCCAAGCGTCCGTCAGGCGGCCGAAGCAGCGCTGGGTGGAGTGCGTGCCCCCGCACTGCTCACCAGCGCGGTCACCTGTATGGAGGACGTAGGTGCAGGGACCAGTACCCCCACCCCGCAGACGCCCAGCGTACCACTCACGAAGCTGCTGAGGGAACATGGTCGCACGACTACGCTACTGCTGCTGGCGCGGACCACCACCGGAGCCACTCCTCTACGCAGAGCTGCGACCAGCTCCACCGCTGCCTCCGCCACCTCCGCCGCCTCCGCCACCTCCGCCGCTTCCGCTCCCTCCGCTACCACCGCCGCCTCCTCCGCCTCCACTGCTGCCACCGACACCTCCACCCCCGCCACCGCTCCCACCACCACCCCCTCCCCCTCCACTACCTCCACCACCACCTCCACCGCCCCCACCAACCCCTCCAACGCCCTTGCCCCCCTTGCCCTTGCCGGTGCGGCGTTTCCCGCTAAAGGCAGACGCAGTGCCGACCGACTCGAAGCCAACGAGGTCGGTCGCAGCAGCAGAAGCAACAGAGGGCAAGAGGGGGGAGGGAGAACACCCCTCAAAGACGGGGGTGCAAGGGTCACCACGAGAGGCTCTTACAACGACTATGCTCTTCTCTGCTGCTAGGAGGCGCTCCTTGAGGAGGTCAACGGTGAGTGTGGTGAGGCAAACTGAGAGGAAGTGGTCCCGGACTAAGGGTGACTATGTAGTAAAGGGTGATGTACATGGGGGTGGGGGTTCTTGGCACAGAATTCAGCAGGAAGCGCAGCGCGGTAGTGAGTGTCACTAGTGTGAAGGTTCGTAATAAGGTCAGCGACTGTGGGAAAGACAGCAAGGTCAGGGAACAGGTACGGTAGCATGAGGCGGCTAAGCGCAGCAGTGGCAGGGGAAGAGTAGCGTGCAATTACAGCATCGTACAAGGTCTTAGAACTCTTGTACTGGCTAAAGTGCGCACGCTCAGTGGTCGGTAAGTGGCGACGCACAGCAAGACGTGCAGCAGCATTGCGCGTGGCCCATTGCGAGCGAACAGTGCTTTCAGCAGTAGCAGGCGGGGCAGGAGAGACACTAGAGGTGAGATCGAACAGGGAGAGTCCGTCTGCCCTATCGCACTGTAAGAACAGCTGGAGGTCATCGACCCAGACCTCAAAGTCAACAGCACGACCCTCAGTATCAAAGGTAAGGACACTGGGGGTAGCCATGACTGCAGTGGTCTAGCAGGGAGTGAGCTCACCAGTCCAAGGAAGTAGGGCCGGGGCGCGCCGGTAAGAACAGTAGCGGCTCGGCGGCAGGGCGGCTCGGCGGCTCGGCTGCTCGGCGACACGGCGGCTCGGCGGCTCGGCGGTTGGGCGGCTCGGTGGCTCGGCTGTTGGGCGGCTCGGCGGCTCGGTCGCTGGGCGGGCGGCGGCTCGGCGGCTCGGCTGCTGGGCGGCTCGGCGGCTCGGCTGTCGGGCGCCTCGGCTGCTGGGCGGCTGGCGGCGTGGTGGCTCGGCTGCTCAGCTGCTGGGCGGCTCAGCGGTGAAGGGGCCGGTAGAGGCGGCGACGGGGCCGCGAAGAGCGGCGACTGGGCTGTTAGGGGCAGCGACGGGGCCGCTAGGGTCAGCGACGGGGCCGTTAGGGTCGGCGACGGGGCCGCTAAGGGCGGCGAGGTGGCTGCGAAGGGCGGTGAGGTGGCCACGAAGGGCGGCGACAAGGGCCTCCGGGGGCGGCGACGGGGCCGCTAAGGGCGGCAACGGGGTCGCAAAGGGGCCGTAAGGGGCCTAGGGGGGGCGGCGACGGGGCTGCAAGGTGCGGCGACGGGGCCGCGAAGGGGCCGCGAGGGGCCCGGAGGGGCTGCGACGGGGCCTAGAGAGGCGGTGATGGGGCCGCGAAGGGGCCGCGAGGGGCCTAGAGGGGCGACGACGGGGCCGCCAGGGGCGGCAACGGGGCCGCAAAGGGGCCGCGACGGGCCTAGAGGGGCGGCGACGGGGCCTAGAGCGGCGACGACGGGGCCGTGGAGGGGCCGTGAGGGGCCGTGAAAGGGGCCGCGAGGGGCCTGAGGAGGGCGCGACGGGCCGTTAAGGGCTAGGGACGCGACGGGAGGGAGGGCACACGGGGCGCGACTCGGGCAGGAGGGAAGCGCGCTCTAGGCAGGAAAAAAAAAATTCAGTGGTGGTCCCTAGGAAACGTTCCCACTAGGGAACCTGCTCTATACCATGTGAAGAAATGAGGAATGATTGCATTGAGCAGCATGAGGAGTACAAGCAGGAAACCCTAAAGTGTTGTACCCCATATGAGCTACCCCACTACAGCCTACATAGACTATAGCATATAAGTTTGACAGTAAGGCAGCGACTGCAACTTCTTGATTCCTCTTTCAGCTAGGTAGTCCTTGAAACGAAGTGAGAGGTACTCTTATGCTCTAACGATCTGAAAGGTTTTCAGCTTCATATCACTTTCTTGTTCTGTTTCTAAAAGCCATGCCACGAAAGCATCGATAGACGAGGGCGCGTGACAGAAGAGGAGCGTTCCAAATGTAACGTGTCACTTCGTCGATGAAGGTCATTACGTAGTTCAAATCCGCTCGCCTTCCTGCCGTGGTATCACCATTATGTCGCTGTACAGTTTCAGAAAAAAAAAAAGTATGTCGTTGAAAACCTTTTCGAGTGGCTGATATGCAGGTGCGCTAGGGTTGTAATACGAGGGAAACGTCTACCGAGGAAGATATGCTTCAGGACGAGCTGTGCATATGTGATGAGGTCGGAGTTCCTCTCCACCAATGAGTAGTATCGCGTCTTTGTGAGAGTACGGCGGCTTATGCTAGCTATGCTTGCTTGCGTTTACTTTATCATGCTATTTCTAGCATAGGATAATTATATGCATGCATGAATTGCTTGATTTCCTAGGCTAGGTGCTTTCCTTTATTTTATTATAGTTATAGCACTGAGCTAGGTTGCGTGCACTGAATTCTGGCTTTTCGGTTGCCACCAAATTGCCTTCTACCGAATTCGAGAAGGATCTGCTCGGGACGCTTCGCGACCGGCGGAACCTTCGCGTAACACCTGGTTACAAGGCCTTGTGTCGAGCCTATATATAGCCTCGTGTTGTACCCAGGTGATTCATTCAATTCGATTCAATTCACATTCTCTTTTCTGAGCTCGATCCTAGATCCTCACACTTGGTAATCAGAGTGGGTTTTCACGCGAGGTCTTCAACCGCTTAGTTCCGGCCTTTAAAAAACCGCGGGGGCGACGACGAAAGCGCCGATACGGGTATGTAAAACCAGTTCCGCGCATTTTTTCTAAGTCCCCCTCGATTCAGTTTTCGAACACCCCTCAGATTTACTGGTGGAAGGGTTGGAGTTTCGACCGTTCGATCAAGTTTCATCTCAACGGCCCAGACAATTTCGCCCAGAAACGTTGGAATTTGGAGCGTCGGATTGATTTTCTCCTCAACGGCCAAGATCGGACGCGAATTTCGCCCAAGGGAGATTTACGCGACGTACAGAATTCGCGCTCGTCGATCCTTTAGTCAACTTGACTCGCAGTAAGTCGACCAGCACCTAGAATTCGATTTGTTTTGGTCGCGCATCTTCCTATAAATCGCCAAATGGAGGGAAAAAGAGATATTCCAGTACATGAAATCGCGGAGATACGTGCTGAGCATAAGAAAATACATGCGGCGCTCCCACGACTCAAAAATCTCCTTGCGAACCAGTCGGCAACCGCCACAGCAACAGCGACAACAGTAGCAGCAGCAGAAGCGGCAACACCGACAATTCTACATGCGACAACGGCAGCAGCTACAGTTAACCTCGAAGCAGTGAAGCCGAGGCTACCGGAGGCGTTCGATCCTACAGTAAGAAGGAACGACGTTCGTTGATTTGTAGCTGAACTCGAAATTTACTTCGAATCCGTTGGATGCACGACCCCGACAAAAGACGCAATGCGCATACGGCTCGCAGCAACACTGTTACGAGGCCCAGCTCTAGAGTGGATCAACAACAGAATGGTCCAAGGTGAGGGGACGTGGGCGCAGTTTCCGGCAGCACTGATCGAACAGTTCGACACGTTGAACAGTGGCTACTACGGAACACGACGCAACAAGCCAACTAGTGGCATGGGGCGATTGGCACCACCCACGACTGCCGACCCGATGGAGAACGACGTGAGCGATGTGGAGCAGCGGCTAACAAATAATGAGACGTGCAAATTTTGCGGCGCTACATGACATCGTATCTTGGCGTGTTGGAAAATGAAGAGAAGGTGTGCGGAGCTGAAGGACAAGAACAGTGCGGCACCCCCGAAGCAGAAAACGGACAACGTGGCAACTTCGGAGAGGGCGAAAAAAGGAGAATATGGTGGCGCAAATTTAAAACGTCACGACCAGCCGGCACCAGGGGAAATCGCCGAGACTAATGGAGGATCTGCGAAACAAGTCCCCGCACCGACCGGAAAACTCCAGCCGTATGTTAAATTTAGAAGAAAGAAGAGGGCTTCACCAGAAAGCAGCAAGATACATATAGGAAACCCTAAGGGGTTGTACTCGCTATAGAGTATCCCACTGCAGGCTAGAGAACAATGACATTCTGACACACCCCCATAGCCAAAGTGGGGTGTAATCAGCAGAGCAAGCAAAGCAGTACAAGCTCAGGGTGGATCACAATGTCACCACACATTTTGAGCAGAGGTTCAAGAAGCAATAGTTTAAAAGTTCACAATTATGAGCAAAGCTAGAGCTAATCACAGCGGACAAGTGAGGAGGAGGAGGAGCTGTGGGGGAGAGAAGATGGGAGGCGACTGCTGACGCCGCAGACAAACAGACAAGCTGCTGGCTCAGTGGCTACCGGAACAGCGCTCCGGACTACTGGAGTAACTGGCCCCGCGGCTAAAAGTAGCGGCAAATGAGCAACGGACCCACGGGCGACTGGCGACTACCGGAGATTGTAGCCTCTGGGCTGCTGCTGCTGCTGACGACAAGACTGCTGCCTCCACTCAACCTCCCCCAACTGCCACACACTCTCCACAGTCTCGACACACGCCCACTGCTCAAACCCTAGCTCCACTCCCCCTTCACCCCCCCTTAGTACCACTCCAACAGCTCCAACAAGTCCACCCCCCCCTCAACGGCAGCTGCAGCACAGGGAGATGGAGGAGGAGGAGGAGCAGGGAACGGCACACAGTGGCTTCACCCCCATACCCCACACCCCAAACCCTAAATCAGTAGAGCGGGCCGTAGGAGGGGTGGGGCGCCAGCAAAAGCACGGGAAACATCGGTGAGGGCAGAGGTAGCAAGGAAAGGGCCGCCCACGGGCCTGGCACAGCCGCTCGAGCCGCGCGCAGGCGGCCCGAGCCGCGCGCGGGCCTGGCACAGCCCGTACGGGCCGCGCGCTGGCCTGGCGCAGCCCGTACGGGCCGCGTGCTGGCCTGGCGCAGCCCGTACGGGCCGCGTCCGGGCCTGGCGCAGTCCTTACGGGCTGCGCGCAGCCTGTACGGGCCGCGCGCAGGCCAGGACGGGCGACGGGGGGCGACGCGCGGGTCCCCGTCGCACGTCGCAGCGCCTCCCGAGGGCGACGCGTCGATTGACGGGGCAGCAGCCCGCCGCGCGCCTCGGGGCAGCAGCCCGCCGCGCGCCTCGGGGCGCACAGCGGGCAGAGAACCGCCGCGCGCCTCGGGGCGCACAGCAGGAAGAAAACCGCCGCGCGCCTCGGGGCGCACGGCGGGAAGAAAAACTGCCGCACGCCACGGGGCGTGCGGCACAGAGAGTAGTAAGAGGCAGTTGCAGCGGAAGCAACGAGGTGGTGAGCCCACCCACAGGATCGATCCAAGGGGATCGACCTGCTCTGATAGCATGTGAAATTTAGAAGAAAGAAGAGGGCTTCACTAGAAAGCAACAGGATACATATAGGAAACCCTAAGGGGTTGTACTCGCTATAGAGTACCCCACTGTAGGCTAGAGAACAATGACATTCTGACACCGTATACCCCGACAAGTAAGAATATTACTTCTCGTGGGTTTCAAGCCTTTATTAAGGGAGAGTCAGAAATTAAACCAGTACCGGGTATTATGGGGACCCTACTCCAGAGCGCTAATACGGGTCGAGCTTTCCGAGGAGTTAATATTCTCTCCCAGCAGCACTGTTTAAAGGCTCCTTGTTCCCCACAGATGAAGCCTACACAGCTGCGAAGGCTTAGTGGAAGGTTCCAAGCCCAAGAGAAGCCGA